AGAAACGAGACCTTCCTTTAGGGCAATGCTGACCTCAACGCCTCGGTAAATGTGACGTCATCGAGTGACTTGATGTGTGAGGCCGTGATCGGTTAGCCATTTTGTAATCAGTTAAACGGTGACTGAACTGGATACAGCAAGATTATGTTGCCTTTTTGGGAGGAGGGGGGAGTATTTGGACGGTGTCATTAGCTAGACTATATACGTATAATGTCCCAGGAGGAAAGGTCAGTATTCTGGGAGGTCACAGTATCTGTCATTCTAAGCAAAAAGTGTATGTACATGTGTCCTATTGACCTTCCCTCGTCGGACACTCTGTATATTGTCGGTGGACACACTGGAAATTATTTTGAAGGAACCAGTCGTAGCCAAAATCAAGGGAGGAAGTGAGGAGAACATGAAACCGTAGTCAGGATAGTAGGTGTCCTGCCGAGATTCGAACGGAGCGCCCCCAGAATATGAGTCTGGAACATCACTGCTACTTCAATTCGCTCGATAATTTTATTTTGTCAGATGAAATTATTGTACAGTAAAATACATTGTTAACTGAATACTGAAGAAAGTAAATGTTTCGCCGTTTTAGATAGGTGTCTGTTTAACACATACGTACTTTTCAGCCCTCTTTCCCAAAGTAGGCTTATGCGAGCCTTGCGGGCTGTATGTCTGTGAATCCTCTCCATCAATTTTTGAATGCCTGAACCGATCTTTATGAAACTTGCTTGGTATGTATATCATGACACCTGATCTCATCTCAGCGGCTTATTTCATATATCCCTCCCATCAGTCTGTGTATGTGTATCCCTCCTATCGTTGCTAGGCAACGGCTCTGTAAAGTATATCCCTCCTTTCACCGCTAGGCAACGGATCGGTATACACGTTCCCGCTGCAAAGAATACACGCTACAAGAAAAGAATTGTTGGACGCGTCATTTTCTGTGTGTTCCGTATCTTATCAAAGGAGAATCTATGTATCCCCTTACCTCTGCTAGGTAGCAACTGGGTAAAGAGTGGTAAACGAAGAATTGTTGGTGGTGTCATTTTCTATGCGGTCGGTGTCGTATCAAAGAAAAGTAGGCGATTAGTTCTTCCCAGAACGTTTTGTTTTATTAACATTTATTACAGAGCAGGGGCAAAATACATGCTATGCGTAGAAGGTGAAGTTGTCCCTGTACTCAGGTAAGCAGCACGTCATGAAAATGTGTGATGTTAACTTCGTTCCTGTCCGATTCTGAATTACAGGGGATTCCCAGAATAATTATAATCAGAAAGGGATTATGGACATGTCCGCGTCACTAGGTTCCGTGAACTGTGACACACCAACACACTTGTACAGAAAGGATAGAGTCTGAACTGGCTCGCCACTGCAGACACGTAGGCTACTGCTGTGATCTGCATACACTGCCGAGTATGCTGTGCAAGCATATGGACTCGCCGAGGGAGAATGCGTTCGGATAATCACGCACTCTGACCCTATCTGGAGCCATTTCACTCCCCTTCTCAGCTCTACGTCGCTTTAAAAAAAACAGTTTTCATTTCTGTACGATTTGAGGATCTCACAGCGGTGGTTACGAAGAGTTCTATCTTCTGGGATGTAGCACTGCGTTTCCCTGCACATAACAAAGTAAGCACTACGCCATGCAGACGTATGGGGGAGTGGATGTATAGACCCACGTTTTCTTGACATCGGCAGTAGTTAGAGGTGAATGGTCAGCTTTAGCCCCGGTACCCATTGGTTAGGAAGTTGGGTGGGCCCCAGAGTCTGTCTGGAAATGATGGAGAAGTGGAAATTCTTGACCCTATCGGGACTCGAACTCCGACCCCTCGGTCGCTGCGTAGTACTTTAACAGTCAACCGACGTTTCGACGTAACAAATCGCCTTCATCTTCAGGGTTGATGAAGAAGTCAAGCAAGAAAGCAGCATGGAGCTGGTAACAAGCACTGGTGTGCTCCAGGGGGCGACTCCTACTCTGAGGGCACGCGGCATGTTCTCTACAGTTATTTCAAATGTAGTTGCATATCAGTGAGCCAATTAAATTTTATGCAGATTCTTTCGGAAAGTATAGCTGCAGCCAGAGGAATATTTCATGATTTATATACGTGACCGTACAGCAACGTTTCAGGCTGTGCAGTGACAGCAGGAACCTAAATAGCATTACAGCCTCTCTACACCTACAGTAAGCTATAAAATGTATCTGTAAGTAAAGTAAAAAAAAAGTAAAATTATCCCTGTAACAGGCCGTGAAGGCCCATAGGGTTGTGAGACGTTGAGGGTCACACATTATCAAGACAATCGGCTCAAAGATGGCGGTAAGGTTGTCAGCCTTACGCACCGGCCGCGCTTTACTCCCCAGGAAAATTATTTAATTAATCCCTGGTACTCATTTCTGTTAGAAGCTGAGTCGACCCCAGGGCCATAGTGTGGCTGGAAGGATTACAGTCACTAAATTGTAACTCTGCATGTTGTTGCAGGCTCCTATCAGGCTGTACGGTGACAGCAAGAACCTAAATAGCTTTACAGCCTCTCTACATCTACAGTAAGCTGTAAAATGTTCCTGTACAGTCACGAGAAGTGCAGTTCTATACAGGGTTTCAGGTCCCTACCAGACTGTACGGTGACAGCAGGAATCTAAATAGCTTTACATCCTCTCTACACCTACATTAAGCTGTAGAAATGTTTCTGTACAGTCACTAAATTGCAACTCTGCATGTTGTTGCAGGTCCCTATCAGGCTGTATCGTGACAACAGGAACGTAAATAGCTTTACAGCCTCTACACCTACAGTAAGCTATAAAATGTTCCTGTACAGTCACGAAAAGTGCAGTTCCACACACTGCTGTAGGACCCTATCAGTCTGTACGGTGACAGCAGGAACCTAAATAGCTTTACAGCCTATCTACACCTACAGTAAGTAGTAAAATGTTCCTGTACAGTCTAGACTCGAATTTGTAATTATAAATCAGGCAATAATTCAGTCAAGAAAACCAAACTTGGTGAGTAGATATTTTGGTACATGTGATAATTCGTTTACAAAATATACTGAAATTGGTCTCCCTCCTCCTGGAGACAGAGGCAGACATGACGCTTTATATTCGCGAATGTTGCAACCAGCAAGGCATGAGAGACTGTAGAAATTGCAGAAATGGAGCAAAGTGAGTAAACTGAGTAGGCAGGCACTGGGTCAATATTCCAAAATACCGAGTTGACGAGTTTCGTTATCGTTAAATCATTCCGCGATATATAATTATTAATTCGAGGCTTCAACGAAATAATTCGCCCTATGGCTTACTGTAGGTGTAGAGAGGCTGTAAAGCTATTTAGGTTCCTGCTGTCACCGCACAGCCTGATAGGGACCTGCAACAGTGTGCAGAACTGCACTTTTCGTGACTGTACAGGGACATTTTATAGCTTTCTGTAGGTGTAGAGAGGCTGTAAAGCTATTTAGGTTCCTGCTGTCACCGCACAGCCTGATAGGGACCTGCAACAGTGTGCAGAACTGCACTTTTCGTGACTGTACAGGGACATTTTATAGCTTACTGTAGGTGTAGAGAGGCTGTATATATATATATATATACAGGTTCCTGCTGTCACCGTTCAGCCATTAACGATTATATATAACGATTATCGTCTCTTGAAGTGTGACGTCGTGTAGTCTGATCTGTTGTTACCAATGTTTCTGAGGAATATGCTGCTTCTGTTTTCAAGGTAGGATATAAAAACTACTATTGAAGATGGAAGCAGCGGGTTCCTCCGAAACGTTACTGTCTGCCAGACACGGAGTCTGTTATCCCCATATCTACATCTGTTTTTAAGCAGTTCTTACGTGGTTCTTGTTTCCCACACGCTGCATGAAGGGCCCTTATCAACCTGGGTTGTTGGACGTCCCCGTGCAACACCGGTCTTTGTCCATGACGTAATGCGGTGACGTCATGAGGACAGGCAGCTGTGACCTCTGCCCCGTTTTTGAAAACTATTATCCTGAGGTTGGTATTGTTCGCAGGGTGGCGACAACCCTTGTGCAGCTGTTCTGATGACTCAGGGCGCACCCCTTGAGTTCCAAACGGGATGATGACGACACCACATTCGAAATACGGTGTCGTCATCAAGTGTTTAGTTGCTACTGAACTGCTGATGACGACACCGAAAGTTAAAATGTTTGTGAGAGGCGTACTTGAGTACCGTCAGGATATTTTCCGTGGGTAGAAGGGCAGGGAGCTAGAAAATTTGCTTACAATCTTACGTTTAAGCTGTTTAAGACTACTTTAGCCTGCTTTCCTTATTTTGAAAAGAATTAAATGAGGCTTATCACATCACCCTCCTGTCTGTGCGTTCGTGTGTCCATCTGAGCGTCTGTGTATCCCCCATAATTTTTAAGGTAGAAGGAGGCTTACACGTTATCACCTTTTTTCTGTGTGTATTGTACCTCCCCCAATTTTTTCGTTCTCTACGCGGTCCTTGTTGTATCAAAGTAAAATAGGCGATTATCATATCATATTTTGGAAACTATGAAGTTCCATGACAGTGTCGTTGATATATTGTTCAAAGAATTTTGACTGAATACTTGTAATATAAGGGGCACGCGATAGCATAGTTGGTTGAGGCACTATGCTACAAGTCGGAAGGTCGAGGGTTCGAGTCCCGATTAGGTGGATTTTTTTCAATTGACTTGATCCTTCCAGCCGCACTATGGCCCTGAGGTCCTCTAATAGAAGTAAGTATCAGGAATCTTCCTGGGGTCAAGGGCCGCCGGCCGGCGCGTAAGGCTGACAACCTCACCGCCATCTGTGAGCCGTAGTCTACATAATGTGGGATCCTTAACGTCTCACAGCCCTGTGAGCTTCCATGGCCTGTTACAGGGATAGCTTTACGTATAACATAATAATTTATGTTAACATTCTGTCAGGTCTGTGTTTAAACAGAGAAGCAATAAATAAAGTGACACGTTTATTTCTCAACTCTGCCGACATTTCGGTAACAACGCATTAAATGCCTCTTTTGTTTCAGGCATGGAACGCGACACTTCGATTGGCTTCTTTGAGCTGTCTCGTCTGAACAAGGTAGGTCATGATGCTCAGTTTTTATGTAACATAATAATTCCTAGTGTTGTTGTTGCTCTCACATGCATTCTGAAGCGTATGTCTGGTTGCTAATAACCTGTTGCTCTGAATGGATTTAACAGGAAATGAAATTAAGGCACTTCAGCTCTCTCTAAAACAGCCTCATTAGGTCGTCTGTCCGTGTGAAACAAGTAGAGAACCGATGAAACGTTTTTTCATGAAATTTGGCATCTGGGAGATCCATAAATCCATTGCAGTTTTTGTTAAATTTGGACCACAGTGACAGTCACTTCACATGGTGTGACCTAGGAGTACATGCATTACTGTACGCAATCCGAGCGTGAAATTTGTAGATGTTTATGGAAGAGAAAAATATATCTAACGAAATTTCTTTATTTTATTCCGTCACCACAATAGGAAATATGGATATATTATACTGTGACGCATGTGCCCATTGCTAAGCAACGGTTCGGTAAAAACATTCCAGAAATTACGCTTTCAACAGTAGGAAATCCATTGCTAGGTAACGGGGAAATAAGCACGCATTCTTGAAAACAGGCGGTGTTTTCCGTGGGGTCCGTGCTGAGGAATTATACGACGGCACAGTCAGAAGAATAGAAGATTACTGAAGGATTACAAGGAGTACAACGGGGTTGAGATTAAGAATTGATGGTTCAGCTGTGTAGCGTTAACCAGCGGGCAACGGAAGAATCTCCATTGCTAAGATTCGTCACCAGGAGACGTCTAGTGAATGCAGATGAATAACCATTGTGGAGAGCTGTTACCAGGTGGTGAAAGTAGATTGAGAAGACTTAGTTTGGAGTGAATTGTAGTGTGAAAATCAGCAATGATGTAATAATTATTTGTAGTTACTATCAGTAAGTAGCCAATAAATCTATTCGGCAATTCAAACCCCGTCTATATTCACTAATACATGTGACAATACGTTCGTCGTTTCTTACAACAGTTTTCAGCTCATTAAGGCATCAGGTATTTTACTGATACCTGATGATGCTTTATCAGCCGATACATGTTGTACATCGTGTTGAAGGCATAAAACAGAGACATTTCACATACACACAATATGACGCTAATGTAGAATATTTCTATACCTAACGAAAATTCTAGAAAAGAATGCTAACACAAATTTCATGTAAAGTATGCCTCTCCTGTAAGTCTTCAAGTTTCATTTATTATCTAAGTTGGGCGACTTTTAAGTCTGGGGCCAACAGTGGAGCGACCATGCTCTGTGCATGTGTTTCCTATCTTGTTGAATTTTAGGGTCTCACGGCTGTGACTATGAAGAGTACTGCTTTCTGCGATGTGACGCCGTGTAGTCCAGTAGTTCTCCGACGATTCTGAAGAACGTATTGACCCCATCTGCAGGGTCGAAGAATAAACAAATCAGCAACAAGAACGAATCAGTCAGCTTCTACCGGCCTGCAGTTCTGCTCGCGAGTTGCTTGGCTTACTCTCCGACTCTGAAGACTGAGACAGTACGTTCCTTCGAAACGCCGGTGAACTTCTGCCAGACGAATCGGTGTCACATCCCAGTGATCTTCGTTTGCTATGTTGAGTTTTACGAATTTTTTTAAGTTTTAGTGTCATAAAAGCATGAAATTCGAACATAATTTCGTCCTCTCTCTAATGCTAGAAATTTCATGTCTGCTGTATAAACTGAGGGCGAGTGAATAATGTCTGTGTTGTGCTATGAGTGGTCCATTAGCCTTGCAGACGGATTAGCTCTTGTTTTCATTACCCGCTCCTACAGCCACCTTCCCACAAATCGCAACAGATATGTTGCTTCCCTTAGCTCAATGAGCCTAGCCCTTCATCAGCGCATTGTGATCCAGAGCTCTAAAGCACGGTGGTAACTATGAGTGCCTCGAAGATTAAAAAATGTCGCATTTTGCTCATAGTGTGTTCGTCGATTGGGCTTTGTGATAGATACTTAGTGTGTTTTCTGTGAGGCATGGACTGAAATTATTAAAAGAGTCTTTCTGTTGAAAATCGATGGACGTTTCGGAGAAACATGTCACCTTCATCTTCAGGGTCGATGCAAATCAAGCAAGAAACCAGCATGAAGCAGTTCGTGCTTCACGACGGGTCCATGCTTGACTTATTCTTTGATCCTAAAATTGGAGTCAACATGTTCCTTCGAAACCTCTGTTGACTTTCGGCGGACTACACGGCGTTATATCCCAGAAGATGGAACTCTTCATAATCATCGCTGTGAGAACCTCAGATCCTACACGGTGCTCTATCCCAGAATACAGAACTCTTCATAACCACTGCTGTAAGAACCTCAGATCCTACGCGGCGCTATATCCCAGGAGACAGAACTCTTCATAGCCACTGGTCTGAGAACCTCAGTTCCTACACAGCGCTATATCCCAGAAGACAGAGCTCATCATAACCACTGCTGTGACAACCTCAGTTCCTACACAGCGCTATATCCCAGAAGACAGAACTCTTCATAACCACCGCTGTGAGAACCTCAGTTCCTACGCGGCGCTATATCCCAGAAGATGGAACTCTTCATAATAACCGCTGTGAGAACCTTAGATCCTACATTAATTTTATGTTATTTAAATGAATTAGTGCTGATAATTCGAACAAGGAAATGTTCGTTTCCGATTGCATAAGAACGTTTTGAGACGCCGTTTTTTCATTCTCTATCTGTCTCATTCGTCGGGCATGTTTTCTCCATTCTTGCTTCAGGCTCTACTCCTCGAACTTTCTTCCTTTGGAACTTCCTTCTTTGTTTTTTCTCTGTTACCTTTCCCACAACTATTGCTTCACTTTCTCTATTTCTTCCGTATTTACTATATTCCGTGTCTTCGACGTCCGTCTATTATTTTTAACGAGGCCTACAGAAGAGTCCTTTTGCTGACACGAAACAAGAAGCTGTAAAAATGCGCTTTGTTAATTTCGCCATGTTTGTATGTCTGTGTGTTTGCATGTAACAAATCAGAATCGTTTGAACAGTGCATCAGTTCATTGTGAGGGAATCAGTTCATGAAATTACGTATTTCATTACTGTTACTGTTTAGTGTATAGTGTGCTTGCTTTTATTAATTTATATTATTATAGTTGTAATTGTATTTGTTTTAGTTGTATTTGCATCGTATTCTTTGTGTATTGTGTCCTTTATTGTTTGTGTAGTTTTGTGCCCTGTGTTTTATTTTAGCGTGATATGTTATTTTATATTATGTATGTTATTTGTGTGTTGTGTCTTATTGTAGTACCACTGCCATGGGGTAAAACATTATTTGCTGTTAAAATATATAATCAAACTGTTGAACACATCCGAGATTTGTTTCAAATCAATCACTAATAACTGACATTGCACATTAACACCTACATTCGTATATAAGCGCATCTATAGCGTAAACCACGGCTTCTGGGAACGAAAAGTATTTGAACTAAAGTTCGTATAACCCTTATATTTTCTAGATAATTATACAGAAATGAGAGAAGTCGCAAAAGGTTTTACGCTATGCACACATTTCCTAACTTAATACATCTTCGTGGAATATCTCCTGTTGTTTACAAAGAACCATCCTACCGATCAAGTAAACTAGAGCGACGGGTGTTAACCATGACACGCCGTTTCTCTGGTGAGACTTCCCGGAACTTCGCAAGCACATCAGTGTTTTATTTGTTCCATCTGAACGCTGTCTCTCCGGTCTAAACACAACTTCTTTCGAAGAATGTGGGAACGCAACTGAACTAATAGTTCTTTTTTGTACTTTGTCGCTAATGCTGTTACAGTATTAGAAGCAGTGGACTTTGTGTAGCCTGATTCTCGGACGGAAATTAAGAAACGGACATTGCGTTCTTGCAGTAGCGAAGCGTGAGTTAGCCTAGTGTCATTTCTGTGTTACTGTACTAAAAATGTTTTTCAAGCGGTCTCATTACACTTTCAGAGCAATGTGACAGGACTTTGAGGAAGTTATCTGTAGCAAAGCAGAGAGGATGGAATAGGTGTAGACAGTCGGAAGGCAACCACAACCAACGAGATGATTAACTCCGGAGAATACATTACTTCGCTGGAAACCAGCTGTCATTCAGTTCGTCAAGGAATCCTTCGCTGTTTACACAGCTTGAAGGTCTGTTACCGTATTCACGCAAACTCGCAGCTGGTCCCTGTCCAAAGGCAAAAGAATTAGCCCACATTCTCAAATTTACTTGATTCCTCTGTGGTCTAGTGGTCAGAGTTGCTGGATACAAATCCAGAGGTCCGGGTTCGATTCCCGGCATTACCAAATTTTCTGAGTAGTGGATCTGGAACGGGGTCCACTCAGCCTTGTGAGGATAATTGAGGAGCTATTTCAAGAAAATAGCGGTTCCGGTCTAGAAAACTGAAATTAATGGCCGTTGGGACTCGCGCTGACGACGCGACACACTCTATCCGCCAAAGCTGGCACTAACTTCGCCGACAAGCAGCGGTCTCTCGGTCGTTATAGTTCGCTTGCCGACTAAAACCACGGAGTTTTTAAAATGTATTTTAATAATATCCACCCCTATATAAGCCCAGTATATCTTAAGTGTTCTCATGGTTCATACTGTTAGCCCTAACGTTTTATCAGATTCTTAACTCTCCTATATCTGCTATATATAATGCCAAACTTATCCTTCGTGGTTGTTATCCAAATAGCTTCTTTTTTTTTTTTTCATTTTTTACATCCTGTTATGTTATTATACAAAATTCTTTACTGGAGTCCGTCGTATCACAACAAAATAGTGGTCAAGGATAAACTTACCTTAGCTACATGTTTCGGCTTTTAAAGCCATCATCAGGCAAACACATTATTATTATATTCACACACTATTGAACTCCAATTGCGATAGTAAAGCTGGATACATGATAATTGTTACAGCATAAAATACAATGAATTATAAACTTATTATAAAACGAAAGTTATGGCGTAAAATATGATTAAATACTCTTCATGTGATATTTCATACCATGAAGTCAGCTGTTGCAATCTTGTTATATTCCCGCGGACATAATGGTATATTCAAGACTTGCAATCTGTATTCCCAACAGAACGGACAAAATAAATGAGGCACCGGCCAAACAGTTAATACCAAATAATACTGCATCTATACCACGGGCCTCCAAACAGTTTACTATATGTGTACAAGTCTAGAATACGTACCATTATGTCCGCGGGACTATAGCGGTGGATTCGCTGTTGATGTGTTTTATAAGTGTAGTATTTTTCCAGGGTGTTCATGTAGGGTCTGTGTGGTCTAGTCGTCAGAGTTGCTGGCTACAGATCAGAAGTGCGGGTTCGATTCCTGGCGCTACCGGATTTTCTGAGAAGTAGTGAGTCTGCGACGGGGTCCACTCAGCCTCATGAGGATGATTGAGGAGCTATTTCAAGGATATATCGGCTCCGGTCTAGAAAACCAAAATTAACGGCCGTGGGGATCTGTTGCTCTGATCACGTGACACCATCTATCCGTAAAAGTTGGCACTAACTTCGCCGGCAAGCGGCGGCCGCTCGGTCGGTATAGTTCGCTTGCGGACTACAGACCACGGAGTTGTTTTTAGTTTGTTCATGTAGGGTCCTTTCCTTGCAGATAGGACTTTTAGTGTGTCTTTAAGGGGGGGGTAAAAATGGCACGTTTCGAGTGTGTGTTGTGCGTATTTCCTCAAGACTCACCTGTTGATGGCCTGCCTAGGCTAATACATGTTGTAAAGTGATAAACAGAAAACGTTTCTGTGATGGCAGGCCCCCATCATTTTTATTTGCAAGCGCAAGTAGGATGCAACACATCGGGATTATGAATCCACGTATAATCCTTCTAGCAATGCCGCAGACATCGGGACATTAATCTGTGTCGGCCCGAATACCAGCATTTCTGGTGTTATGGTCTCAGTACCCGCCACGCTGCTGTGTTTTAATGCTTCAGAGCCCCCTACGTGTTCAGTGATTTCGTCAGTTACACGTGTTCGTACCGCATGGAGGTACGTTAAACGCATGAGAACTTGGAGACTGAAAACTTTTCTTCATTCTATGAATTCAGACAAGCTTTTTGAACATGATGGTTAAACCATCTTGAAGTCCGCGCCATAGCTCAAGCGGTTAGTCGCTGGCTTCCCACCGCGGCGGCCTGGGTTCGTTCCCGGGTCTGCTGAAGTGGGATTTGTGGTGGACAGAGTGGCGATGGGGCGGGTTTTCTCCGAGTACTTCGATTTCCCCTGCCAATTTTCATTCCACCAAATTCTCCATCATCATAATCACCCGGTCTCGGTGTATGATATTTGCCCACCATATTTCAGCATGTGAATTTATCCGTTGAAAGTGCACATTCAGCTCACACATTTACATATTTGATTTGCTTATCTTAATGATACTGAGGTTAAGAAAAATATTGCATCCAGACTATAGGAAAATGTATAGGCATAATCCCCCTTCCCCCAATCTCTTTTTTCCTTTCCAACGATTTGGAAATATTTACTGATAAAAATGTAATAATATCCCAATAGTAGTACATGTTTTTACTGTAATATTTACTGGGTCATATTCAAATTCGGGGCACACGGTAGTGTAGTTGTCTGAGGCATAATGCTGCAAGCCGGAGCGTCGCGGGTTAGATTGCTGATGAGGTCATTAGATTTTTTCAATTTACCTAATCCCTCCGGCCAGTATTGTGGCCCTGGGGTCGACTCAGCCTCTAACAGAAATGAGTACGAAGAATCTTCCTTGGGGGTAAAGGGCGGCCGGCGCGTAAGGCTGACAACCTTACAGCTGTCTAAGCCGATTGTCTAGAAAAGTGAGAGCCTCGACATCTCACAGCCCTATGGGCTTCCACGGTAATTATTAGCGGTAATCCCGTGCATGGCAGAGACGTTGGAATGTGTGCATTTAGCCAATAGGTTACCCTGCTCACTCAAATTGAATATTACACATAATTTTCTGTGTGGTTTAACGGCATTCAGAGGCAAATATTCGCGTAAATGGTCGGAAATGTTCCCTGCTGCTTAGAACCGTGTTCTCGTCCGCCCCGGAAGCGGACGTTGAGGTGATACTGGAAGCCAGTCCAACCTCCCCTATCCTCTTTCCTTCAAATCAGTCTCAATACAATTCCTTCCATCATCGACTTCTTCGAAATATTACATCCATGTCTCCTGAATAAAAAAATTTGTAGGCATTTTTCATCTCACCCTCATAAAAGTGTATCCTCCCCTGATCCTAAAGGTCTTCCAAGTGTACACTTCCGTTCGGGTATTCCGAACGAAATTTCATATGCTTTTCCTATGTCTTCCATGTATATTATATGCCATCGCAATCTCGTCATATTTGATGTAGATATCCGAATAATATCTGGTGTAGGGTACCAATCATGATGCTCCGTTTTTTAAAGACTCGAGTATTTGTGATAATGTAAGGTATAAATATATATTAATTTTCGAGAACCAGCCAGATTGTTTATTTTTCGTACACTGTGATGTGTTAAGAAGTACAGTAAGAATATAAAATTATACACTCTTTGAGTTAAAATGTTATCTTTTTAAAGGATAAAAACAAATGAATACTAAAATTATTTCTGACAGTGATAGTTCTCGAATATTGCACATCACGTGGATGAAATCTCAATACGTGAGTCACACATGAAAAGGATGCAAATTGAATGATGCTCTGGGTAGACTCTAGTTCAGCACAGACAACATAAAGGGTCTCTCAGAATAAGAAAGCCCCGAAGGTCCAGGATGGCCAGTTAGCCACACTGCCGTTCGGGATATGCTCCCGGCGATGTTTCATCCACTTCACATTTGGATAATTTGACGTCATTTCTTCGAAGTCAGTAGGGCCCAAATGGATACAATCTCTAACGCTGATTATATAGATATTCGGGATCAGGGTTGGAATGGACCTGAAACACTGTGCACTGAAATTCTGGTAGTCCAGCCTCAGTTCCTCAATGTGTCTCAGTGAACTGAGTATGTTTACAATTTCTTCTGTCATTGACGAACAAGAAGAAACATCGAGAAATTTCAATCCTGAGCAACCATTAACTATATATCTCAAGGACATATCTGTTAACTGTTTGTTAAAAGAAACATCGATATATTTCAAAAGTTGGCAGGTGCTGATGTTTGCGAAGCTTTCGTCTGTCAAGTCAGACGTATGGACTTTAAGATGCTGCAAATTTGGACAAAGCTCAAACATCATAGCTAGGCTTTCATTTGGAACAGAACCTTTGCTAACGATTTCCATCTTCAGCAAACGGAGCATCTTACGTCCTGTTACTAGAGTTTCCAGAATTTCCATCCGGTGGGCAATACACAGCTGAAAACATTCCAGATTCTGAAGTTCTGTCAGTAGGTTGAGATCAAGAACTGTGACATCCGAACCATCAATGTACAAAAACAGGCGTACCAACTGTTTACATTTGCAGATCATAGACATTTCTCGCGACTTGATGATCCCAGAACTGAACGTTAAATATTTTAGGATGTATTCTCTAGCAGTCAGTAATTGTTTCATTTCGTCGTGTGAGGCATTAATGTAAATACATCCTTCCCCCCGCACTTTCCCATACGTCGCCTCTAGAAGATCCGCAGAAACTGCATTGTATATTATTAGGGTGACGGGCCTGACTCTCTCTGATCCGTAAAACTTTGTGTAATCGATATGGAATAGTATTCCTGGAATATATACATCGATACATTCGATGTACTTATATCGTAGCACAATGCTGAAGAGTTTCCCTATGCTAGGACCACGTTTTCTCTCCATGACGATATGACGTATTTCCGGGCAGTGTTCACACAGAGTCTTAACAATGTAATCGATGCTGTCTCCGTGCTGAAGCCGGAAGGATTTCAGGTGAGGCATTGTTTGCAGGGCATCTGCCACTTCCTCGTCAGACATGCTTATTGGTGGCGTGAAGGTCAGATGCTTCCACAGTGAGATTCTTTGTGACAGGGCCCCCCACCGAGCGCTGACTAGAGGAACAGTCATGGACAAGTTTTCAGCGGGAAGGTACTCGAAGATCTCCAGTAACAGTTCGTCCGGTAGATCATCTATTGTCGTCATCCTTCTCACCTGTATCAGCTGCTCACAGAAGAAGCATTGAAATGTAACAGTAGAATTTTCTTTGGGTAGTGTCTCTTTGCTATCTTTGCTAGCAAAGATAATTAAAAGAAGAATTGAAAGGAAAATAGAGGATATATTTGGAGAGGATCAGTTTGGATTTAGAAGAGGAAAAGGAACCAGGGATGCAATTGGGATGATGAGAATTATAGCAGAACGAACTTTGGAGATAGATGAACAACTGTGTGTTTGCTTCATAGACTGGCAGAAGGCATTTGACCGTGTAAACTGGACCAAATTAATGCAGATCCTAAAGGAAACAGGGTATCGATTGGCGTGAAAGAAGATTGATCAGCAAATTGTAAATGGATCAGAAAGTTAGAGTACGACTGGACAGTGGGGAGACAAGAAGTGTGCAGATTGGAAGAGGAATTCGACAAGGATGCTGTTTATCACCAATTCCGTTCAACTTGTACAGCGAATGCCTTACCAAGGAAGCTCTAGATGGGCTCGGAGACTTCAAATTAGGAGGGCAAATTATTCAAACTGTGAAATATGCAG